AAAAAAAAGGCAAAACCCAAAAAAAAAAAAAAAAAACTGAAACTTAGAAATAAATAAGGAAACTACTACAGAACAAATGATTAGGTAACTTTTCTACAAATAAGGCCCACAGTGAAGCAATTATCGAATGTCCAGTCTCGTCAAATTGTTGGGGAAAACAGGCAAATAGCACCGAATACCCGGATACCCCAAGAACCGAACAGCTATAGACACACGTCCGCCCGACAGTAGAACCCGTAACGGAATCCGATAGATGGAATGCTGCGGATTGGTGAATTCCGCTAATTCAACAAAAAGCCATAGGTTGACCGACGAGATCATTTTTGCGGATGGAGTTTGTTGTTCACATGTGACGTCACTGATTTCAGTAACATCACGGGCATGAACCATCCACTGAAATGCGATCAAACCAGTTAACCAATCCGTCATGGGAATGACGGGATTATTTACGCTTCGCGATCATAGTGACGTAACAAGAGAGAGAACTGAAAGGCGGAAATCATTGTCGGTCAACCCATGGTTGAACAAGTATATATAGTTCAACCATGGGTCAACCATATATAATTCAACCATGACAAAAAGCAATGACTCAGTTGGAAGAAACATTTATTTTCAAACATAGATAATGTACCTTCAGAGCACTCAAGAGTTAATGGAAAGGGGTCAGTAATTGTAGTTTACTATTCAATGTAGAATTATTAATGTTTTAATAACCGCGATCGCGTCAGGTACCAACCAAAGCTTATTATACTAATACAAGAATCAACGCTTATAGCATATGTTGAAGAGTTAAAGTATACGATACTTAGAGAAGCAGAAGGGTGATTTATAATAATTCAAGAAGTGATTTATGTGGACTTTTTCGTTACTGTGCACTACTCGAAATATATATTTTCCATGATAGAATAAGCGTCGAGCATCCGAAACCTGACGTGATCGTGGTCATCGCAGTTTTAAGCACCATGACCGATTACTGATCGCTTATATAGAGTGTAAGGTGGTGATTTAAATTAGATCAGTGAATAGTTAGACTATTTTGTAACTCCACATCTTTTTAAATAAACTGGTTTATATTAGCCTTTTGCAATCAGAAGTCTAAATGCATCTTATTGATCGTCGCGAGCCAGCTCTGTTACCGATATCAACTGTTTTTTCAACGCACTAGAAGTGCAGAAGGAATCTTAAAGCCAAGAGTAGATAAACAAGTATCGAACATGCGCTATTCGTTTAATTTGTGAGATAGGGCAGATTTGTTTCAAACCATAAGTAGCAAGTGCCCATTGCTGACATTATTCCATTGTGATAGAATTGTGGTTCATGAGGCAGCAGTGATAAATATCCATATTCAATTAATTATTGCTTGCTATACAAAACTGTCATGGCACTTTATTTACCAACCCTCATGGTTATAAAGAACCGTCTTTCCTTTAAAACATTAATCATTCATGCATGGTCGAATATTTTATTCATCTCAATGTAATCATTCTCACTTAAACGTCTCGATTGCTGGTTGTTGCAATGCAATTCTTTCATTACTGTTTGGTCACTAAGAAATTGGCAAGCCTAATTACGTGTCATTTGATCATGAAAACAGTGAGGAATACGCCGCAAAAAGTACAGTTGCAAGGTGATTTTGACAGGTTGGTTGACTGGGCTGATAATTGGCAGCTGCGTTTTAATGCTGACAAATGTAAAGTAATCACCATGGCAAGAATAATGAAAAGCAATATTACATTATGAGAAGACATGGTTGCAACAACAGAATGATGATGTCGAAGTCGCCAATGGAGAAAGATTTAGGGGTTAATGTCGACAATGAGTTAACATTTTCTAAGCATACTGAAGCTCAAGTTAATAAAGCCAATAAACAACTTGGACTGATCAGACGCTCTTACGAGCACATAGATGCTGAAGCGATGAAGCTGTTGTTTGTCGCTGTCGTGCGTCCTAACCAAGAGTTTGAAAACGCCGTGTAGCCATTAAAACTAGAAAAGGGCACAAATTTAGTCGAGAGTGTTCAAAGACGTGCAACAAGGATAATTCCGGGATTAAAGGGCAAGTCTAAAAAAGAAAGATTGAAGATTATGAAGCTTCCAAGCCTCTGTTATCGACGTCGGCTTGGTGACCTCATTGAAGTATACAAATATACCCGCGGTTTAAACAATGTCCCAGAAGGATTACTAGAATTTGAACCAAGAACTAACACCGGGGCCACGGATATAAACTAAAAAAACTGCGTTGTAACACATCCATGCGGCAACATTTCTTCTCACTTCGAGTCACCGACATATATGTGGAACAACCTCCCTGATGGAATCGTTGACGCTCCGAGTATGAATGCCTTCAAGAACAGACTTGACAAAGCTATGTAGGAGCATATGTTCAGTCTTGAAATGCCTAGCACTTTTCGGACCTTTCAATAAGTCCAGCAGCTATTCTCAATCGATCGTCAGTTATGGAAAAATCGGGTTCAAACGGCAGGATCCCTTATGGAATCAAGTCACGACAAGTACAAGAATCGGCTACAGGCCGTGGGCCTATTTCTTCAGTGCCGACACTTCTATTCTATTCTAAAAGAGTCATGGTTCATCTAACCGCGTAACGTAGTTACTTAATTTATAAAGCTGTTTATCTATTAGATAGATAAACTGCTTATAGATTAGTTAGGGCAGAGTGGCCCAGAGGTTACAGTTCAGAGGATTAGGATTGGACCATAGAGATGCGTGTTCGATCCTAGCTTTGTGCGCCAGTGTCTGGTCAGAATCGGAGAGGAAGCCGCAGCAGTGAGTTGCGCGTTCGAGACCGCAACAAGCTGTGAATATTTTGTGATGTTATGAATCGGCGATTAATAAACGCTGAAACCACTATTACATAACATTACATCTATTCGATATAAGAAGAAACCAGAAAAATTTCGGGGTGATGATCATATTTGTTTAAAAAATCACAGTTATTCTAAAACATTTATTTATTAATACTCTAAGACACTTTTTTCGTAGATACATTCAACGCGCGTTGCCTTATTTCAGCAATTTTTCTACAACGTGACAATAAAATCTCAAACAATGTCAATAACATAAATTAAACAATCCCGCTTTCCACCAAATATTCAAATCTTCATCTTTACAAATGGTTATTTCAGTAGTGAAATAATTTGATAAATGTGAATGAATATAAAAAATGATATTCATCCAAAACCCCCACTCACTGAATTAAGAAAAATTCGAGATAAACTTTCGTTGGACTTTCCCATAGGCGGTGCAAACTTTCATCGAAGGTTTTATCGGTAACCTATTCAAGATTAATGACTACAGATCACAACTTTTAAAGTAGTTTAAGTTCTAATCTTAACTAATAGACTCATTACCAGTAGTTCGTATGTTCAGCAATGACCTTATTTTCAAATGATTTTAATTGAAGAACAATATAACAACATGCAAACGCCTAAAAACAACATTAAAAGTACAAAATGTGATACGCATATGATGTACATATAGTACGTTACTAATAGATAACCGGACACATGGAGCAAGGATTTCCATTGTAGGATTAATGAACAAATAGTAAGCAAACGTTCGACTTCTTCCTGATACGAAAAAACAGTATAATCTTAAAGGTCAATGCGAAGAACCTTAAAAAATAATAAATTAATTATACCAATCCAAAGAATCGCAATTAAAACATATCAAGTTCGACTGTCTACTAATAATAAAATAAACACCATATTACTCTTGAGTAAATTTAAATTTTTGGAAGCGAAATCACAACATGGATAAGTTTTCCGATGTCATCTCATCTTTATAATATTGATAGACAACAAAGACACGTTAGCAACATGCTTAAAACTCACACTTTAACAATATGCTTAAAACTATCACATGTTGCACCAAAATCGACTACGTGAGCTTCAGTCCAGCCGAAACAAGACTAGCGTTCTGTGCGAACTTGCTATGAGATTCAGGGACTTCATTTGCTCTTCAAAATGCAAAATACGAGGTTGTAAATTGAAATATTGAATAAAATCATGCTAACGTTGCATCATTGTAAGACATTCTAGTCAAAATCTGAGCTCATACAGAAAATTCGTTCATCTTCATGAGAATCAACAACTCGTGACAGACATAAGAACCACAATCAAACGATAAAGTACATTCTATAGACTTGCAAGTACATGTGTGCATATTAAAATATAAAGTACATATTTTCTTACAATTTTGCCTTTACACAGTCATCACAGGAATTTCATCTAATACACTGACTCAAGTAAAAGGGAAAAACAAGGGAGTAATTAGTTATAAGTAGTAGGAATGTAGAATTAGATAATTAAATAGTTGAAAACTAGGGGTAGTTATAATGATGGCCACGAACAGAGATAGTTTCCGAGATGAATCGGTTCATGCGAAGGCAGTCTACTGTAGAACTTTTGTTTATAGGTAATTAAAATAGGCTAAATATTTTCGTGAAAAATCTGATAATCATCAACGTTTCAGGCATAGATTTGTAATTCTGATGATGTGCTAAGGAAGATAAGATATTTAATCATAAAGAAATGCACCATCCTTATGCATCAGGTCTAATAATGTAACTAGGATAAAGTAGTATGTACAATCAAAGGATCCTTAAGGTCTAAGGATTTCAGTTAAGTAGGAATTTGAATGACTAGGGTTGACGCTGCTCGTTGACTCGCTGCTCGGCGTCGAGTGATGGCGTTGGCGCTAAGCTGATTGATCTCAACAAGCTTGAGCTGTTGAAGAGTTTCCGGTTTTTATTGGATTAAAATATATGCTTAGCATCACATGCAAGTTACTGAGAGATCGAAGTATGTTCATGATATTAAATTAATGTACTCAAGTTGGCGAAAATGAATCGAATCATGTGATATATCATGTGTTGATTATCCTCAAAACTAAAATCACGGTAATCTTGAAGCTCTAAACTTTTAAACATTGTTCGACAATAAAGCCACTTAGAAACATCGCCAACATGGTTTATTACAAAGATGAATACCGCAGCCATATTATACTTTTGGAATTTCTTAAATAAATTAAAAGAAATACTACCATTTTACGCCGCTTACCTTCTGGATCTAAAAGCGTTAGTCCCAACGTCGTTGCTGTTCGAAGCACTTCTTGTGTACTGGTTGACTCGATTAGAAGACTGGGACGAATCTGCCACAGTTTTGCGACGTATTCTATCCCACTTTGAGGGATCCACATACGTAGAAAGAGCGCTGGATGATGATCCGCTCCTCGGGCGAACGTCTACTGGTAATATTGGTTCCCATAGGCGTTGCAAATTATCTTGTGAGCCTTCATTGGATGACGAAGATTTGCCACTGCCGCGTGTGCCGTGAGTGTGGGTGGGGGCCACGTCCAGGGTAGAGCAGCCAGGACTGCACAATGCACAAATAAAATGATAGAATCTGATCTAGATGGTTGCGTACTACAAAAAAGTGAAGGACTTAGAAATTAAAAAATCTTCTACAAGCAAAGAAAAACTGATGAATCTTCATCGATTCCATCGGCAAATTTACCCACTTCGAGCCGGTTTGAATGATGAAGGGTTAACTATCAATTATCACATATCAGCCGATTAATTATACATTATAGTAGCATATGGTAAATTGATTGCCGGATGTATTTAATCAAGTCACATTCCTGAATAATGATTGTCATATGGTAAATTTAATGACGGATGCATTGAATCAAGTAGTCATGTATATTCATTAAGGAAATAGTGACAATTTCAGTATTTTGAAGAATACAGGTAACATGAACGTCTCCACACCCTAAACTGCAAGTCATGGATGCGAACGTGTGAAGGGAAGGTTATGCCGTGTGACTCAGGTAGTCATGGCGTCAGCGTAGGCGATGTCATTAGCGGTGACGACAGCGGTGACGTCAATGACAACGTTGTCGCAGCGGCTGTTTGTTACCGCACTTAACGCTAGGAGCGCTGATCATTTCAGATGAACAAGTCATGGTATTTCTACCCGTACCTCAATGATGGAGTGTATGAGGGATTGTGAGTCACTGACCTCATGCTTTTCCTCTCACACACCACGGAGTAGTAGTCGGGCGGGAGTGCGTCGCTGAAGCCCAAGTCCTCGTAGTTTGGGGGCTTGTCGTCGATAGGCACACTTTGACCTTCACTCAGGACTCCCTGTAAGAGACATGATAAAATCAGAACTAATAATCTTAAAATCGGCAGTGAATTGCAATTTTTTAGCTCTATGTAACTTTGGTCTTAAGCCAGATAGTAATTTCTTAGTTACGATCTGTACTGCATACATTTGAACTAAATAAATAAGTCGTACATATTTTGCTACAAGAGAGAATAATTTTACACGTCAAATCGCTCAAACAAAAAGAAGCAATCAAACTAACCCACAAGCAGTTTTATCACCTACGCAAAGGAATGCCTAAAAAGTTTCTATTTAGAGATGCGATAAACTGTTTTTTATATGAGGAGCTGCTGAACGTGAAATCTCATGAAGCAACACAAGACAGGTTTTAGGTCTCATTCGGCGGCCGGCTGCACGTATCGCTGGAACCTCTCGCCTGGGAATTAACCGTAAAAAATGTTATATGTTCATTCTTAGAAATTGCCGCGATTTCTAGGATGTCAGAGTAGGTTAGTGACGGAATCCTCCTACAAAGACCACACGTTGAACAAGGAAAATCTGTCCAGCCATGACAAAGAGTTGGGTGCAGATGCAGGTCACGTACTCGAGGCATGGAGACAAAGGGACGTTCGTAACTGCTTTCCCATCACTGAAACCTCGATTCTATGGCATGATGTTACTAACACGTCACTGACTTTTAGTATTTAGTTTTTTGGCTATATTTCAGGGAGTTCGGAACGTTATGATCTGTTAATGTCCATTCGCTGGGCTGAGGCAATCGAGAAAACGATTGCGACAGATCAACGAAGTGGGAAATAGTTCATCATTGATTTGTCTTATTTGTCTTTTGAGCCACTCTCGTGGCTCCGAAAATTGAAGCTGCTCATTTAAAACAGCTTTCATGTAGTTTATTGAATTGAAACAATTAACAATTTTCTTGACTGTCGTAGTGACATAAAAATCGCAGTCCAAATGGAAATAAATTCATCACCGCCATGTTAAAAGATTTTGCTGAAGCCTAGTTATAGCACTTGGAAAAACATGGCGTCTTCAAATGCTTCGGTTTCAAATTTCAAGAATTTTAGAATTAAAAGCAATATATCCGAAACTTGTAACCAACTGTTTGAAAATGAAAAAATAAGGCAAATTTTTATTTACTGTAGACTATTTGCACCAGCAAGAAAAAGTTATTCTGTTTTAAATCGGAGAAAAAGTTAAAATAAAAGCAGAAAAACCTAAAAATGGGATGCAAGGTGCTGCAGAAAATGTTTCTGAAAACACAACATTAAAGATACGTAAATATACGAAGTAATATTGAACAGCAGTAAATAATAGCTTTTAAGAAGTCAATTCTCACCATGATCAGGAATTGACTTTAAATAGGAATGAAAAATATGAGGAATTGACTTCTAAAAATGAATTTTAGAAGTCGATTCTCACCATGATCAGGAATTGACTTTAGAATATGAATGAGCTTAACTATTGTTTTGAGGAACAAAACAGTCATTTTGTCTCGACTGCAGATAAATTAAATAATAATTAATTAACATCCATCATACGTATAAGATATGGCATTTTATTCGAATGAGTCCATAATGCGTCACAGCCTTACGTGCTACCCTTAAAAATTTAAGTTCAGCTTGTCATCACAGCCTTCATACAATAAATGAACAATTTTCAGCTTCTTAATTTTCAAAAGTAGCTAATGTTTAAATTCCTAAATTCTCAACTAAACTAATAAAGTTGCATAAAAGGCACACGTTGACCGAATGTTATCGATGAATACGGATAAAATGTGAGTATTTAATTATTTTATTCTCTACTCCCCTGGTCAACGATAATTTTCCATTAAAAAATTTGTTTTAACAGTACTTTATTAATTTAGACATTTCTGACTACGATAATTTTCCATTAAAAAATTTGTTTTAGAAGTACTTTATTAATTTAGACATTTTTGACTATCCTCTCAGCCCGTGGAGACCAGTAGCTCTACCTAAAAATAGAGCTTGGGCGCTGTGCGATGCGGACGCGTGGAGACTGACGTACAACAAATGGAGATATCGGCCCAAGAAAATTAATTATCGACTTTGGACCAAATAAACCTCACCAAAGATTCTTCATAGAATGAAGGAGTCGTTGATTATTTGATTCAACCACGATAAAATATTTTGGAAAAAATGGGTCCAACGAGCAATGTTTAATAGATAGATGATCGCATCTTAAGAGCAGCCGTGCCGCGACAGTGACCTCGCATTGATTGTCTTCGTTCCTAACATGAGTGTTGAGCATCCTAACTTGTTTTTGTCGATGGTAGCGACTGGCAGGAGAGGGCGCGAGTAGGCAGGCAAGGATACCTGTGACTTCACAAGCAAGCCACATAACCACTTAAAAAATATGGGTTAACATGTTATTTCGTTATTATGAGCTTTATTTCAAAAAATTTTGTTAATAAGTATCACTTAACTGTCTTTTTGTATTATTCGTTATGGAAAGCGCATGTTAAAAAAACTTCCGCAATTAATCAAATTTACTAGCATCAATTACTGCCTCTTTAACCTGCCTTTTTAGGCGTATGCAGGCTCCTTCTTGGCAGCCTACACACTAAACAGTGCAAGGGAGCAGTTGATTTTGTTATGACTTGCAGTTAATTAATTAAACTAGTGGAATAAGGGAGAAATTCTGGGAAATAGTGTTCATATATCCAACTGGCAGGTTAACTGAAGTTGCCCTAGGCCTAGATCGATGATTTGGTACATAACTGCTCAAGCTGGAGTTAAGCACGAGTGTAGCGAGTGCAGCAAGGAGTTGACTAGAAATGTGGCAATGGCTGGCGCAGTCGTCAAGCACATGCAGTGCAGGGGTCTGCGCGTGTGGTAACGCGTCACCGCTACAATGGCGTTCTGCCACAAGCTGTTAACCGCACGCACAAAAGCAGTTCATTCGGTCGATGGCATTGAGACATTTAAGTATGATGTAATTATGCTCTCAATGAAACCATGCAAAACTGTCCGAGCGGAACAGCCGCGATTCTCGCAATATACCAGCAGCACTGCCGGAAACCTCAATTAATACAATTAACGATACCTACTATTAATTTAAAAACAGTGTGGATTGAAAGCTGCTTTGTAAAAGCAGTTGACTAAAAACTTATGATCTGAGTACATATATGTAAAAAATGCACATCAATGATTGCGTCTTGGTCTCGAAACATTACGATTGCCAAGACACCAGTTAACTATACCCACAGTATCGATAAATAAGCTTGAATGACTTTCTCAACCAAAGCGGGCAAATTCGGCAGAAGAGTATAAGAAAGCTGGCTGTTTCGAGCGCCCAGAAAGAAACGGTCCGGGAGGCTGAAGGATGACTATCACACAAGCAGTTTGCTCTCTTGTGTAAAGAGGAATGACACTCGGAAAATCTGCCTGCCCTTTATAGGAACATGGGTCAGGAAACAGCTAAACTACCTAAAATGTTTTCCAAAGTCAAGAATTAAGTAATCGAATATTTACCAGTAGTTAGCAGCTGATATTATGTAGGAATTTTGGTTTCATGATGATGTGCATAAAGCCATGATTTGTCGTTTGGCGATTAAGTGTTGAAAAAACTCTCCGATTTCTTTCCTTCCGATGAGTAACTGATTTTTAAAAATTTCTGTCAGACTCTAGATAGTGTGATTGAATTCACTACGAGCGTCAGTATTATAAAATTACCATCTCATAAAAATAATAACGTCAAAATTTAATGCAATCGCTTATTATGTTGAAATACAAAGCTAACTTGTCGAGTCCTCAGAAGCGGGCAATTGGACTTACTCAACTATAAGTAGAAATTAAACATTTTAGACATCAGTGACTTGAGGCAAGAGAAGTGCTCACTTTACCAAGTGCCTGATAAGACACGCACTCACCGGAAATCGTGTCGAAGGAAACGAGCATGTTTTCATTTACGATGTCAAGTTAAAGATATGATAGGCTTCGTCCATATCCGTAGCTCATCGCCAAAACGTTTGCACAAATGTAGCTTGTAGTTGACAAACCATAATCGTTTACTGTCCAGTTAAGGTAACCAATTTGAACACTTTTCCGACGCAGCTTTCTTACCTGAGTTAACTAAATGCAATGAGAACATCATGAATTTCACAGTAAAAAGTCTAAACTCAAATCTAAACTGAAATCTATTTATTCCAAATTTACTAGCATCGTAAAACCCACGATCGCCGTATATACTATTACGATCATTAGGCACCGCCTACAACCACCATCAATTAACAAGGTTTTAATCGAATAACCAATAATTAGAAGCAAGGATTAGGGGAAGCCCATATGATATCCAAGTAATCTCAAATTGGCCTTCACTGCATGACCAGACGCCGGAAAACGTTCTGATAAGAACGGCGGCAAGATAGACGTCGGGTCTGTCGAGCTATACCATTAATATTCGAATTCGAATATTATTTAGAATTATTATTTATTATTATTAATTATCAATTAGAATGAATACGAATATTAATATTCGTATTCGAATTTAAGTCGGTCGGAATGCGGCATGAGGTCACGCAACTAGGTGAAAAGTTATGCATAGTTATAGTAACCTTGCACTGTGAGGTGTTTTTGTACGTATAATCTTTCGTCCATTAACGAATGACATGACAAAATAATAAAATTACAAATAGCTATACCAGCAAATATTCAAAGTACAGTTTGAAAACGGATCATATCAAAATACTTTCCATTTTTAGACAACACTTTAAAACAAGTTTTTGCCCTTAGACATCAATGTCAGTAGACAAAAAACTAAAGCGATAAAAATGGATAGTATTAACGGAAATTAAATAATATGAATTTAATTTTATTTCATTATCCGAATAGTAAATATCTTTTAAATGAAATAAAGTCTACTTTGTCAGCATATCCGTTCTCGATGACGAATTTTCACGATGTCACGGAGTTTTTTATGAAGAATTTCTGGTCAAATATTAACGGAAACTTAATTTTTATCGTGTCAGCAAAAAAAATTTTGGGTTCAAATTGAAACGCTGTTATTAAGACGGCTAAGTTAGAATTTTTGTACTAATTCTAGTTTAGGAGCTAACAAATTATTGAACTAATTTGAAATGAAATTAAATTTTAGCTAATTTTCATTGTGGATTGAAAATCAGGCGTTATTTTTCTGCTTTATAATGACGCCGTAGCTCACGCAGAATGACTGATAAAATACTCCCATGTACAGCACACACGTTTACTAAACCATGCGCCAGAGGGCCAGAGATTCGGACTCCAAATTATGCAGCACAGGAAGGGTTTTAACCAAATAGCAAAGCAGAAAACCCACTTACCGCATTTCAAGATACGGTCATTCCGCTCTGATTAATGTGGTTACTGAAGTAACCAACGAATTACTATGCTTTATTTATAGAATGTTTGGGGCAAGTTTTCAAGTCTATTGGATAGCAGAGATTTACTTGTGAAGGGAAAATTTGAAATTCGTTTTAGTTGATGTGAAGTGACACTGGAAGTTATATACATCTCACAATATTGTTTCATAAACAATATTCCACATACACAGCACAGCTGTCGAATTAATTATACGAGATATTTTACTCACAGCGATGTCTTGGAAGTCAGGAGGCCGGAACTTGTAGCTAATGCATGCATTGCCCGCCACCATGACGCTGAGAAGAAGCGCCCCGACAAGGAATGTCACCACGTTGGTAACTGTCACCACGGGAGCGTAAATTAGTTGAGGAATTCCAGCAAATATCAAAATAATGCCCATGGATCCCACGACTGACAAAAGGCACTGAATGGAGGAAATGATGGCACTGCGACGCCCTCTTTCCGTTGACAGCAGCGCCATGATGCGGAGGTCTCGATCTGTTGGCCGTGATATTTGGGCGCTCAGAGTCATTGTGCTGAGGCTCAAACTGGTTGTGGCTGGCTGCAGGAACACGACAATAAATTTTCAGATTTAGCCAATGCCAAAGTTGAGAGTGGGAGTTTCTGCCAAGTGTAACTTTGGATTGAACCTTGCTTCAGCAAGTGTCGAGTTGAAGGTGGATGGATGCACAGTTGCAGGATTTAGAAAGCACTGGATGGTTCTCAGACTTTATATGTAGTAGCGATGGGAAGAGTGATGGCTACTCGAATGAAATGTAGCAGCACTTTACAAAGATGATTTAAATTTGTTTTGATTTGCGGTACGTCGGAAATTTCAAGGCATCATCCTTGCAAACCAGTTTAAGAGCTAAAATTTAAAAGTTTTCTCATCTACACTGGTATGTAACCATTTACTGCTATAGTTATTTGTTCAGAAGAGAATTCTTTGTGCATCCGAGAATTTGAAGTTCAGTACCAAGTAAGTGCTTCTGTTGTTGATGTAGCTCGTTCAATTTAAATAAGCGGTTGACTAGTTTTGCACCAAAAAGACCACAGTTGAAGGGAAATAAACAACTAAATCGCGTAGAGGATTCAGCGATCGCTAATTATTCTGGAATGGATATAATTTTTTCCTTAAAGTTCTACAAAGTTTTAACCACAGCCCACCATCCATGCAGGGCAGTGTAACAATTTACGGTGCGATTTCGAAAATCCTATATTGTTGTCATCTGAAAGGAAAGAGAAAAAGTTTTAATTGACATTTAAAAGTTTCTTGACGAAAACATGAAATGAACGCAATAAAGTAGAGCGCATGTCGTTTAAGGATTTACATTAATTTTGCTTATGCACAGCTTCATAAATCTATAAAATAAAACAGATTAAAGCACATAATACCGAAAAAGTTCATATTGTCTATAAAATGAAATAATTTGTGACAAATAAGTCATACAATCGGAACTTTAATTCATATAGTACCCTTTTCTATTATTTTTAGCCAAAATATATTAGGTTTTAGATACGTTTATCAGTGATAGGAGACTAAAGACAGTCGTAAAAGTTGTGTTCTCTAAGCCTTCTCATAAAGCTGTCCAATAAAAGCATCAAACGCTGCTGAGTGCAATCAGATGATTCTTTATCGGATATGAATAAAGTCACCGGTGCTGATAAGGAATAAACAAAATGAATTTTATTAAACGTCGGATTGGGAAGTCATAAAAAATTACAAACACACATTCATAAAATTGAAGTGAATTTATACAAGGACTCGAATCAGCTGATCATGTCGTGGGTTTGGTTGGAGCGTAAAGCATGGCCGGATAAGGATTTCCGCTATGACGGCACTCGTGCAGCAAGTTAATTCCGTCCGTGACATACATGTGGAAAATAGGTGAATTAATCCATAAATGACTCAATAGGATCCTGTAATGGAATCTCGATAATAATGGCTGATTTGAAAATTTGAGTTGGAAATGAAATATGTTTGCAAGAAAACAATTGAAAAACGAAAGTGCCGCATGAACTTTCATACGCAAACAATGTGGTTGTAGGCAGGTACAAAAATTGAATCTCACTGAATCATCAAGATTTACATTTTACAGAGATGGTCAGAATTTGTCAATGCACTGACCACTGCACAGTAAAGTAGACCGGCATTTTCTGCACCGAGAATTGGTTTCACTTCATTATCAGACCATCACTTAAAATTTCACCATAAATTTCAGGACATAATTCATAGAAGCACAAGCCACGCATTCACTTGCACGTAACCAATTTTTCGAGAATAATAAGATGGTGTTGCTGCACAAGGTGCATTAATATTAATGAGTTCAAACTTGGCATATTCAGCAAGTAACCAAAATTAAATAGTCTAAAGAATTGATGTAGATGTTTAAACAATATTTCTATATAGATGTCAAGAAGGTAACTTATTACAAATTTATTTAGAGTGAGTGTAGTTTATCGCGAAATTGCAGAAATATTGAGCATTTCTTCGCAACCAAGAAATAGACGAGTTTTTCTCCTGTCACTCGCTTGTCTAATCATAGTTGTTGCGAGGCAAAACATTGTGGAATAAATAAAGCAACGTTTTGCATTACTAGTTTCAGTCCATAAAAAAATTCGGAAATCGTGCGGCTTGGAAGACGCATTCTAGCGTTACGAAACTGGTATCCAAGATACTTAGTTATGGATGATGTCAGCCTGAGATAAGATCACCGCAGGCGCAAAAAAATGAAGAGGGTAGGTACAGAAATGCATGCAAGCCTTCGAACGAGTAGCTAGAAGACAACGACTATACCAGCTGGAAATAATATCGAAGGATCGAAAGATATCACAGCAAACGACAAAATTCACGTTGCAAAGAATCAACAATACCTTTATATGCAAATTTTATGCCTGCACTATCTCAAATCGAAAATGAAAATAATTTTTTATAATTAATTCGCTCAAATTCAGTTATGTAGAATATAAATGAAATAAATTAACACTGGCATGGTAACACACAAATATGTATCTACTGTGTCCAAAGATCCCAAGCTAATTGTAAACTAGCCCTAGCAATTTAATTGAGAACTAACCTTTGCAAGCCTCTAACCTTTGCTATTGGTACATTTTTTTTGCCCCTCATTTCAAGAATTCATGCGAGTCGGGTGACCTTGTCTAGCGCTCGCGGGGTTGCGAGTTCCAGCGCCAGAGCAGCTCTAAAAGCACATGCGTCGTGATGAAGTGTAACCAATGAGAGCCTCGAGACCGAGCAGAAACCTGACAATTGCGCAATAGCTGGGGTGGCCACGAAGGTGGCAGTCATTATCATTACTGCAATATTGTTGCTATACGGTAGTGTTAGAATGATTTGTGGTTTCTTAGTTGCCATGTGAAAGTTAAACATAACACATATAAAAAAAATTAGTTTGAAGCTTTTATTTTGGTTTTCGAATTAGGATTTCTCATCCAATACGTATAACACGAATAGTTTTTCCAAATGCGTCTCTATCGACGATTTATCAACGAATTGATAGATCATAAATTTTGAGCAGTAAGTTTCTATACTCCCGTTTGTTTCTGACAAACTATAGCGGTTAAGGTGGCGTTGCCCGAGATGGAAAATCTTCAATTTAAAAGTTACGTTAATTTGAATCCCATCTTCCCCAATCTAGTAAAGAGTTTTAAAAGTAACATATATACAGTAATTTAAAAAAGTCTCGATCCAACCCAATTTTAGCATGGAACTTTTATTTAACCCTAGTTTTTCCAATCCGAAGGGATACTAAATTTTTCCTTCAAATAAATTTACCAAAATTTAAATTACATTTCCGTATTCTTAATTAATCTCCCCACCACAATTTTGAAGAATTACCACCAAACATCTCAATTTTACTGCGAAGTAACATCCTGACACGATCAGCTTAGTGGATACAATTAAGCTCGATTATCATCTTCATATTTACCGCGCGAGGCTTCAAACACACACAAGTTTTGACAAATACAGATAATGGATCATCAAACGTTCACATGATGCAGCATTCAATGAAAAAAAATATGCGTTTAAAAATTACTTTTTAAAGACAACACTTATAAAGAGGCCAGTGTCTCCGATGTTACACATGTGCAATGAATGAATTTCTAATTTTTTAATGTTAAAAATATTATTTTTTTATTTGCAATTATAAAAAATTTAGATTTTTAAAATTATTTATTCCGTCAATGATTCAAGCTTTCAATTTTCAGCTTTGATTCAAGCGACTTTTCGCAAGTATGCAAAATTTCAGATCGATTGGACAATTAAAAGTGTGTTAAATACCGATTATAAGATTTGTAGCGGACAAACAACAAGAAGTGAAGTTAAAGAGAAGTGTTGTATATAATTATAATGGGATTAGATAAATAATGAGGCATTAAGCTGAATAGTAGATATAAATGCCCGTGTACTACAGTATCATTCTATGGTTACACAGCTAACAAATGGATAACACAAATATGAGTACATAAAAACTTAAGTGGTAGTTGTGAACGGTTGAATAGAATCATTAAGCAGTTACATCTTAATCGGACTAATTCATGCATTTTACTGATATTTTTCATGCCTAAGTTTGAAAGAATTGAAAGGATCCTATATTAATGTGTGTCAGTAAATTAAATTAAGAGGATTGAGAAACCCAATCAAATCCTCCTGAAAATGATCAATTCTGAAGCAACGTATTTCGTAACACTGATATTCGACTGAATGATAAACTTCTTTCAACTCATATCATGGACCAGCCTCTCCTTTCTTCGCTGTTATTGCTACCTGAATCATGAAGCCTTTTACAGCTTAATAAGGTTTATTTGTCTTCTAATTTACAATTATTTTCAACCTCAAATTGTGGATTGTTCTTTTACAGTCTTATGTGGCATAAATTCAACCGCACTTGAGTTGGTTCAGAAATTGTGTAGTGAAGCGATAATACACAGATTAGTTCAATTTCTAATGACTACGCCGAGACCTCGAAACTTGTTTACAATCACAGCTAGGAGAGCAGGATGGGATATCATACTAATTCAAGCCTGTGTTTTATAAGCTGAATTTGGAGCTTACCTACGTCGTTAGATACACGACATGGTGTCTGACTTACGTCGTACATGACTTGTGTAAAAAGAAACTGATTAGTTTTTTTGAAAATCATTCGAATCCACTTGATAGGAATGATGGCATGTTTTTAAACTCATTCCATCTATAAAAATTTAAAGTGAAGTTTCCTCGACAATACCTTTTATGCAATAAATTACATCTAATTACCACTTTAAATTATTTTTAAACTCTTACAGGCACTGTCACTATCAGTAGTGACAGACATGCGATACCAAAGCAATTTTCTACATGAATTTTCAAGTAGCAAATTCAAAAACTTGTCAGGTCCGATTGCTCGCGTTGTGTCAAGGTTACATAGGTTCGTTTAAGTCAATATTTGAGATGCTGAATTAAGTTAACCTGTGTAAGTAATTCTTAAAAAATTTGTTGTGATCACTTCCCAACTTGATCAAGTGAGAATTGTCAAGCTCCACTGGCCAAGTCAACTGAGGTTCGTTAAACTCCACTGGCCATGGGCCAACATTATTATGCAGGGCCATGACGAACAAATGGCCTTTCATATTCACAAATTACATTTCAGGTTCCAAGAACTTCACATGAATTTATGAATTAAAATCCATAACATCACAACAAATATAAGTCATGAATGGAAGATAGAAGTGCAGAAAACCATAATAATCTCTTCCGCGTATAGTTGGTCTTTATATCGATTGAAATTGCAATCGTCAAGTTTTGAACTGTTATGGAGCTGGTCTCTGAAACGTTTTAATTAAAAATATAGTGAATTTATCTTGCATTGTTTTTACTTTTAAATAACAGGGCAATGATCAAATTGTTCAAGTAAGGCAACGAAACAAAATAAAAGTCAGAAGTCAATCATATTGTTTTGGCACTTCGATCATACCGCCAAAATTCAAGGTCATGTAGTCATGGAGGTCTTTATGCAGTCACTTTAACATTCCCGGATAGTGGTCTAATTTTTCAACTGAAACGCTGAAGCAAAATAAAAATCAGAAGTCAACCGTATGGGTTTACGCTTCTGTCACTCCGCCAAAAGTCGAGGTCTGCGTGATTAAATCATATCTCCGTGCCCCGCGTACCTTTGAAGAACCTAAGAGTTTGGGAACCGGTATGCTAAATGACTAGTTGTCTCCGATGACC